ACAACCACTGTTTATTCCAATTTTGTTTCATAATTTAAGTTCTTACGATTGTCATTTGTTTATAAAAAAATCTAGGAGAACATAAAAGTCAATTGAAATTAATACCTAATAACGAAGAGAAATATATTTCTTTCAGTAAAATTTTAAGAATGGATGATAATGGATATATCGAATTGAGATTTATCGATTCATTTAGATTTTTAGCAAGTAGCCTAGACAATTTGTCATCTAATCTGGAATCAAGTCAGTTGAGAGAAATAATTAAATACTTTTCAAATAGTGAATTAGATGTGTTATTTAGAAAAGAAAAAAGCAAGATAATTAGAAAAGGAATATATCCTTATGAATACATGGATTCTTTTGAGAAATTTTCTGAAACAAAACTTCCATCAATAGATAAATTTTATTCTTCGCCCACAAAAGAAGGAATTTCTCAAGAAGAATTCAAACATGCAGTGAAAGTATGGAAACATTTTAAAATTAAAAACTTGGGTGAATGGCATGATTTATACTTAAAACTAGATGTTTTGCTGTTAACTGATGTATTTGAAAATTTTAGAGACTTATGTTTGGAAAAGACTTATGGACTCGATCCTGTTTGGTATTATACAACTCCGGGGTTAGCTTGGGACTGTATGCTCGAATATACTTCAGTAGAGTTGGAATTATTAACTGATTATGAAATGTATTTGTTTTTTGAAAAGGGAATTAGAGAAGGTATTTCACAGTGTAGTAACAGGTATTCGCAAGCAGATGAAAATACTCAGATTATCTATATAGATGCTAATAATCTATATGGATGGGCTTTATCTCAGAAATTACCAGAAAAAGACTTTAAATGGTTGACTTGTGATGAAATTAAAAATGTCGACGGTATATTGGTATCAGATAGTGGTACGGGTTATGTTTTGGAAGTCGATTTAGCATTTCCAGTAGACTTAGCTATTCATAAGAAATTCAATGATCTCCCTTTAGCTGAGGAAAATAGAATTCCTCCGGGCGGAACAGTAGAAAAACTACTTTGTCATTTCTATGATAATAAAAATTATATAATTCATTACAAAACATTAAAACTTTACAAAAGTTTAGGTATTACAATAACAAAGGTTCACAGAGGTATACAATTTACTCAGTCAAATTTCATAGCACCATATGTAAAATTTAATACTGAACAAAGACAAAAGTCGAAAAATGATTTTGAAAAAGATTTCTGGAAATTAATGGTTAATATATGGTAAGTCTATGCAATCTGCTAGAAACCAACAAAATATTAAATTATATTGTGATGAAGAAAAATTACAAAAAGCGATAAACAAACCTAATTTTAAATAGAACTATATTTAGCAAACACCTGGCAGCAGGTCACAATTTTAAAACGAAAGTATTGTTTAATAAATCAATTTATATTGGGCAAGCCGTATTAGATTTATCGAAATTGTAAATGTATAACTTCCATTACAATGTAATTAAAAAAGAATTTACTGAAAACGTAAAAGTTCTTTATGGAGACACTGATAGCTTTATATATGAGATTAAAAATGCCGATTTCTATGAATTTATGAAAAACAATCCCGACTATTTTGATACATCTGATTATCCAAAGGATCATCCATTATATTCTGATAAAAATAAGAAAGTAATAGGGAAATTCAAAGATGAATTGAATGGTATTAAGATATTAGAATGCATAGGTTTAAAGTCAAAAATATACAGTTACAGAACCGAAAATTCTGTTTCGAAAAAATTAAAAGGTATTAAGAAAACAGTATTGAAAAAAGAAATAAGTTTTGAAGATTACAAAAATTGCTTATTTAATCAAAAAGAATACTTCCATAGACAGAAAGTGATCAGGAGTCATAAACATGATATATTTACTGAAGAAGTAAAGAAAAAGTCTCTAAGTTGGAAAGATGATAAAAGATACCTTTTACCTAATTCTACAGATACATTAGCTTATGGATACGTATTAGTATCATCATAGGTACGTTCATGGACATTGTTGAATTAATCGCTATTTTTTATTAGTGTTGAAGTAATAAATTAAGAAAACAGTAATTACAATTACGATAATAACCATAAGAACAAAAATAAGAATTTTTAATTTATTAACTTGTTGAATGAGACTTGAAATCTTTTTTCGGAATTTTGGATATTCTTCATTGAATATATGTAAATTCTTGAATACAGTACTTTCCATTTAATTTACAATTTTTGAATCTTTTCATTYATTGCTCTTATATTTTTAGTATGTCTTTCAAATATTTTCAGAGTTCTTTTCTTTACATCATCGATGTTTGATGGTATTACTACTGTTTTGTTTCTTAATTCTGCTAGTCTCTTAGGATCGTAATTATTGTAGTTATCTAATTTATATTCCACAATTCATCTATTTTATTATTAGCGGACTCTAGCTCACAGCCAGTCATAATTAATTGTTCAAGAAATAAATTAGCTGCTTTTCTTACAATATATTTATCTACAACTTCTTGTTTAAAACCAACTATTTTTGCTCCATCTTCTAATCTGTCTATTTCAGTAATAATAGGTTTTAAATCTTTTTTCCATTTTTCTTTCTCGTCATTAGGAATGTATGAAACTAGTTTATCTATCCATTTATCCATTTATAACTGAAAAGTTTCTAAAGATTTACTAATTAATTCGTCTGCTTCTTCATCTAAACCTATATTTTTACGACACCTGCTTTGTGTTCTACATTATCGAATATTTTTTTATTTTTTGTTTTGCTTTTTCTCTCTTTTGTTCCCAATTGTTCCGATTTGTTCTCTTTTGCTCCGAATTGTTGACGTTTGTTCTCATTTGTTCTCGTATTACATGCAATCTTTATGCCAACTGAATTTAGCCCCATATTGAGGGAATTTCTGGAAATATTTTTAGATTTGCAAAATTCTGTCTTTGTTAATTTTTGTATTTACAGTCGAATTGAGATATTCAATGGCAAAATTACGATTTCTCATTTGAATTACTTCATTGATATTTTTTGGTATATTTAGTTTTTTATCAAGAGTAAAAGTTTTGTAACTATTTTTAAAGTGTTGGAGTTCAGATGGTTGTCTTGTTTTTAATGGTGTATAATATTCTGCTACAATTTTGTTCTCTTTAGTATTGGTCATTTTTTAATTTATTGTAAAAATAATACATTACATTCAGAAATTATTTAGATCAAAGTTGGCAGTGAAATGTTGAACGCGCGTCTTGTATTAGATCAGACTATTGTTTTAAATACGCATCATAAACGAACAGAGTACGTTTGACATGCTGCGATGGTATCGTCAAAGACATTCCAAGTCTGTCTTATCTAAGTTTCACAGCCAGTGTTGATCTAAATAATTTATGAACGCACTGTATATTGGATACATTGAATAAATTGGATTGGATTGAATTTGTTGCCTAAATTGTCTATCAATCCAGTAAAATTAGACCAAAAAACGCCTTCTGTTCAGAAAAATCTAATATGACTTGATTATATAATAAGTAAGTGTTTTTTTTTCAAAAACTTTCCACATTGCAGAAGTTGAAAGATTTTTTTTCAGAAATGGTCGTATCAGTTTTTACTGAGCTTGTCATTAAATCTGTTTTGTGATATATCTTATGTATTTATTATTTCAAGCCCTCAAATTTAGTGGTGTGAATGTGTAATTGTTCTTAAACTCTTTTTCAGAAAGCAGAATGGCAGTAAAAGAAGACAAATCCGTCTCTGAGATGCTTCTCGAAGAGAAAGACAATTTCTTGCGGGAAAAGATACAAGAACATGTTATTAAAATTAAGGAAATGCAGCAGTGCAGAAAAGGACTAGAAACAACAAGAGTGGAAATAAGGCACAAGGAATTAGAATCGAGCGAACAGAAAGAAGAATTAATAAAACTTCAGGATAAGATCTTTAAAAATGAAGAAAAAATTACAAAACATATAAGTTTGCAAAAAACTCTAGAGATGGCATTAAGTAAACGGAACAGTAAAATTAAAGCCATTAATGGAGAGTTAATGAATCAAAAATTGGAATCCCGTAAACTCCAAAATAAGATAACTTCACTCCAACAAAACATTAGTGCACTCCAAAACGAGATTCTTTCGCACAAAAATGAAATATATGACCACAAAAACGAGATGCTTTCGCACAAAAATGAAATAAATGACCTCCAAAACGAGATTATTTCGCTCAAAAAATGAACTGAAGCTGACCAAAGAAATAGTAAGTCAGTCTGTTTTTCATTAAAATTTAACTTCTGTTAATTTATCAAAATTTATAAAACTAAAACCTAATACGCTTAAAAACAACAAATTATCTACATTCTATATAATTACGTGTCATAACAAAAACATTATTGTTTAAATTTCATAACTCAGGTTATTAATAGTATATTAAAAGAACGAGTTTCAGAAAACACATTTTTTCGGTACGAATTCAAGTTAAAATAACTAGTGCCTAAACGTGTTCTGAAACGAGTTCTTTATGCTATTTTTTCTACTTTGCCCATTTTTTTAACAAAAATTATAAATTTTGAAAGTTTAGGGAATTATAAGGCGGTTGGCAGCACTTGGTTATATTTTCATTTTCGACATCTTCCTGATCGTCAAAGAGTTGTGTTCAGAGAAGGCGAAGAACAAGCAATTGTTGACAGAAACAGCAACACACAATTGATGGTATGGTTCGAATTGAACCGAATAAATCCCAACGCTAGACAATTTCTGTACCCCGAAATTCCATTGCATTTCGTATAGAACAAGAACAGCGTTAGACTCCACGCGAACGCTTGATTGTTAAAACGATATCACGAATGTACAATGTTTCTGTGCGAAATGGAGAATTGTACTACTTGAGGGTTCTTTTATTTAACGTGCTTGGAGCAACGTCATTCGAGTCATTGAGAACTGTCAATGGTCAAGTTTGCAAAACTTTCCAAGAAGCATGTCGACAACTTAACCTACTCGCCGAAGATCGAGAATGGCTCAGATGTTTGACAGAAGCAAGTCAAAAAGATATGCCAAAACAAATGCGTCGCATGTTCGCCTACATTTTGGTGTTTTGCCAAGTTGAAGATGCACATCGATTGTGGAATGAATTCAAACGTTTTATGATCGAAGACTTCACACGCCAAGGAATAGAAGAACGTGACGCCGAAGTCAGAGCATTTCAAAAGATTCAATGCATTCTGATTGTAAACGGTCGAAGACTGTCACATTTTGGTCTAGAAGATCCTCCAGAATACAGACCAAATGTAATCCAGGACGAGATCGACGAGGCCCGAGAAAGACAAAGAGAAGCAATGATTGAACAGTTGAACGCTGATCAACGTGACGTCTTTGATATTGTCATGAGAGCTGTTGAAAATGACGACAAAAATCGTCGCTACTTTTTTGTGAGCGGTGCGGCTGGCACCGGAAAAACATTCCTCTACAACACACTGATCAGAGTTTTGAATGGTCGAAGAGAGAATGTAATCGCTGTTGCTTGGACGGGCATTGCAGCGTCTCTTTTGAAAAATGGACGAACAGTGCATAGTCGATTTCGATTGCCAGTTCCGATAACAGAAAATTCGACGTCACTTTTGAAAGCTCAATCAGACGAAGCGACAGTCATTCGCGATGCAAAACTTATCATTTGGGACGAAGTAACAATGACAACACGAACAGCTTTTGAATTAGTCGATCGTACATTGAAAGACTTATGTCGCAACGATCGTCTTTTTGGAGGCAAATGTGTCATTCTTGAAGGTGATTTCAAACAGTGCCTTCCTGTAGTCCAAAATGGAGATCGCACTGCGATCGTCGCAAACTGCATAAAATCAAGCATTCTTTGACGTTCTTTTGAAAACCTTCAGCTGAACATCAACATGAGAGTGCAGCCCGACGAAGTTGAATTTATTGGTTGGCTTGATCAACTTGGTAATGGAACTCTACCAACTGTAGAGTTTAATAACGAGAATCGCCAACAACAAGAAACACGTCTTCGACGAGACACAATTCAAATTCCCCAGCGTTGTATCGTCAATGGACTTGATGAGTTGATTAACAGAATTTTTGGACAAGACTTTCGACCAGATGCTTTTGTCAATACAGCAATTCTCACTCCGTTGAATGCAGATTGTCATCGAATCATTGCTTCGATCTTAAACAGGATTCAAGCTCCTGTTCGAACGTATCGAAGCGTTGACAGAGTGGTGACAGACATTCCAGCCGAAGCTGCAAATTATCCCGAAGAATTTCTCAATTCACTCACACCATCGGAATTTGCACAGCACGAGCTAACGTTGAAAGAAGGTACCATCGTCATGCTATTGCGAAATCTCAACGTCAGAGCAAATCTTTGCAATGGCACACGATTGGTAATTCGACATTTGAGGGAACACTTCATTAAAGCAGAAATCATCAATTTTGACGGACAATTGTCTGGTAGAAGGGAGTTTTTGCCGAGAATCGAATTTGAATCTTCGGAGAATGAACCTCTTCCCTTTGTTTTGAAAAGACGGCAGTTGCGATTGTCATATTGTATGACAATCAACAAATCTCAGGGCCAGACATTCGATTCGGTGGGAATTTTTTTGCCTAGACCAGTCTTCACCCATGGTCAGTTGTATGTCGCTTTTTCACGTGCACGTACAATGAATGGAGTATCAAATGTTGGCGTACACAMCAAATACTGTGTACAGAGAAGTACTTTAAATGTTGTGTCATTAAAATGACGTCTACAGATTCCATATTTATTTATTTGTTCTTGATATCAAATTTTTATATTTTTTGTAAATATTTGGTACTGAACAAATATTTTCGGAATCCGATTCGCTGCTTGCATTGTTGAATCACAATCATCTTAATAATTTCTAACTTAGCTAGAAATTGAGATGTAACCGTTGAAGTCAGAATATTCAATATCATTTGGCATCCGGGAGTTTTCAATATGTATTTATTTTTATTACTGAATTTCTGAATATTTTTCATTATTTCCATTTTTATTTATCTTAATTAATAATAATACTATTAATTTTTTTTTATTAAAATGGTTTTATACAGTCGAATTTCTAAAAGTAATTGGTTTATTTATCATTTTATTTGCTGTTGAATAAAATTAGTAA